GGGGGAGGGGGCGGTCGTGCGGGCGCTCTGTTCAAGCTCAGAGGCGCTGCGCCCCGCGCGCCCGCACGGCCCGGCCGGGGCCGGGGCCGGGGCCGGGGCCGTGGCCGGGGCCGGGGCCGGGGCTGGGGGCGGGGGCGGGAGAGTCGGAGCGCTGCCGCGGGCGTGTCTCGGGACTCCGCGCGCCTTCCCTCCCGGGGCCTCCTGACTCCTCCGTAAGGCCCGTGGGTCCAGGGGGGCTTCCTCCCGGGTCGTCGTGGGAGGATCGCGCCCAAAGGCATCTTTTCCGCGCCAGCGCTGCGCTGCGCTGCTCGCGCCCGGGAAGGGCCTGGGGTCTTCGCGTCACAAGCAAAGGCGCATCTGCAGGCAGAGTCGCGTTGCTGCGCCTGCGTTTGGGGGCTCGTGTCCGATGCTGTGGCAGCCCGAGTGCTCTTCCGAAACCCGCAAGGGCAGGGCGGCCCCGTGACCCTCTTTCGCAAGGGAGGGACATGTGGGCTGCCCCACTGATGTTTCTTTCAAAAGGAAGAGAGAAAATGCTGAGGCTTGGGTCTGTGGAACTCACTGCCACTGTTTTCAGTGACGTTCTCAACTGGATCACACCACTAGGAAACGCTGCGTTTAGCCAGTGCTGCTGGAAACAACCTGGTGCTGCAAGAAACTGCGCAGCAGCAGGGAGGGACGGGGGGCTGGCAATCAAATTGTGTGGGTGAGGTGGGACGAACTGGAGGGCGGTGTGGAAGCAGGTGAGGAAAGGTGGTGTCACCGCAGCCTTTCTCCAACCTGGCGCCCTCTAGCTCGGTTGGAGCAGGGGCTGGTGGGAGCTCAGGCCAGCGCATGGCCAGGGCCCCAAGGTGGGAGAAGCTGTGGCAGCCGCATCTCTCCTCCGGGTGCTGGAGGAATGCTCTCTTTGCAAACGGAAACGAGGCACGGGTTTCTCTGCACTGCTGGGACACAAGTCTGGCTCAGAACTTTTTTCACACTTGTCGCATGCTCTGACACACTTCTCGGTTCCCGCAGGCGGATTGCAGTAACCGAAAATACCGTGCAAATCCATTGACAAAGGCATATTTGTGGGGAGAATAAAAGTATTCGTTTCTTGCATCTCTGTGCTGCCCTACAATGGAAACTCTCTGGGACAACATTTAAAACACAACAGACTTTACCATATTGCGTTACAATTGCTGGAACAAAGCCAGACTAAAAGCTGGCCGCAGTGCAGAGAATGCAAAGCTCACGAATACAAGTTTTAGAGACAGGGGGACTAAAACTCCGGGGGAAATTAAACAAGGAAGCTGGAGAGACTGCAGTGAAGCGGCTGAACAAGCCGCTCTGAGGAGGGTATTTCACCAGAGGGGATCCCAACACCGAAACGGCACTGGGCTAGGCGATCGCGGGGGCTCCTGCGGCCCCTCAGTCCCGGAGTCCAGTCCTCTGCCAGGACATGGGAACGCTGCCCTTTGTCCTAGCCTCCCAAATTTCCTTTCCTGATTTGGAGTCTGACGTGGCCAGTGGAAGATGAAAAGCGGGGAAGCCCGAGAGGACCCAGGCCGGAGAGTCCCCTCCTGGGGGGGCCCTGCCCTCGCTTCGCTTCGCAGCTCCTTTGCGGGACCCCCGCCCGCATTTCAGTGGCCCTTGGCACCCCTCTGGACTTGCGTGCTGGGATGGGTGGTTATTTTTGCACTGTCCGTAAGGTGATGTCGCTAGTCCTCTTTAAAAAAGGCAGCGACTGCGTTTTAAGTCCACAGTTGGGCAACTCCTTTATCAGGTTGCAAATTCCACAAAAAAGCCTGATTTTGGATCCCTCGGAACGCTTCCTCAGGCTCAGACGCCCCAGGAACAGCACTGCCCAGCTGCAGAGTTCCGGTTTGTTTTTCTGCTCATGGACCAGTATTCACAAATACATTTTTAATATGCATTTCGGTAAATGCTGCCACAAGAGGAGGCTATCTCAATTTTACTTTATTTTTTTAAGTGGTGAAAGCCTCCAGAGCCGATAATCAGCGGAAACAGCTCACTGGGGATGACTCTGCTCTGGCCTTTTTGGCTAAGCTCTCCCTTTCCCACATGCTGAACCCCCCCCCCCCCCCCCCAACCTTCCATTTCATACCAAACTAATTGGGGGGAAATGTCTGCCCCTCGGTTTGGAATGATCCAGGTGAGGTGCGAATTCTTTGCCACACCTTTGCTTCTTTTGAGATGATTCAGGTGAGAGAGGAGTGGTCTGGCTTCGCCTCCTGTGAACGTCTCCTAAATCCTCGTGATTTCTCAGTTTGCAGATAAACTTTGTCAATTATGCAGATGCTTAACAGTTTGGCATATGCCGCTTTCGGACCGCATTGTGCCCCTGGGGCCTGGCTCCCTCAGCTTTTAACACCCAGCCGTGCCTCTGGCGTGACGCCACTCCTTGCCCCCCCATGCAGGACTTGGGGTAACGCGGGCCATCTCCGGGGGCTAATCCCTCCCGGGTTTTCAAGCTTCTGCCCTCCCCTTCTGCCGGCAGGACCCGGAGTGGGACGCGCCGCCTGTGCCGCCGGCTCCCTTGCCGTCCGGCTTGCGCCCCCGGCAGAGCCGTGCGGAGGCCGCCGAGATCTCCCTCTGGACTGTGGTGGCGGCGATGCAGGCGGTGGAGCGCAAGGTGGACGTCCACGCGGGGCGGCTGCTGGCTCTGGAGCAGCGGGCAGGGGTGGCGGAGCGGAAGCTGTCCGGCACGGAGACGGCCCTGGCCGAGTTCAGCCACCACCTCGATGCGCTGGGCACCCTCGTCCAGGAGTACGGGCAGCTCCGGAGGCGGCTGGAGAACATGGAGAACCTGCTGAAGAACCAGAACTTCTGGATCCTCCGGCTGCCCCCCGGCGCCAGCGGAGAAAGTCCCAAGGTCAGTGGCAGCGGGATGAAGATGGGGCGGCCCGGGGCATTCAGCAGCCCGGCTCGCTGCTCTGTGTGGGCCGGGGCCGGGCTGCAGAACCTCTTCCAGCCCAAGGGCCGAATTCTACGCTGGAGTCGCTCTCTGGGGCTACACAGCAGGGGGGGCGGTAAAGGAGAAAGGGGCGGCCCCTAGCTGATCCACGGGGGGGGGAGGGGACAGCCCTTTGGGCCCCGTGGCTGCTCTTCCATCCCGACTGCCCATGGGGTGCCCCAGCCAGTGGAGTCCTTTTGCTCCTGGGTGATCACCGTTAGCTTAGACTTCTGAGCATGTGCAAAGCACCCCTGGCGTGACGAGCCTTTCACATCCGCCTCAGATTCATTGCGCAACGAATGCTGATGCGACTCCAAGGAGCCACAGCAGCTGTGGGGAGGCTGGGCCCCCCACAGGTTGCTGGACTGTGGCGCCCTGTGGTCACGAACTCGGGCCAAGGAGCGTGGGCCATCCAGGGCCTGGTCATCTCCCCCCCAGCGCACCCACAATCGCGCCCGTCTCTCCCCCACCCCCCAGCGCGCCAGGATGACGGGCACGTGCGGGGATGATGGGCGTGATCGCGGTCATGCTGGGGGCGGGGAGATGGCCGCGATCTTTGCTGTTCTTTGTCACTTTGCTTTACATTTCCCTGATTAAAAAAAATAGTTACGGAACGAATTAACCTCATTTACACTGAACCTTATGGGGAAATTTAACTTGGCTCACGACCAATTTGGGTCAGGACCAGATTGGAATGCATTACCGTATTTTTCCGTGTATGGGACAATACTTTTTCTTTAAAATATTTACTTCAAAATGGAGGGGCACCTTATACACGGGGGGCAGAGAGGAGAACTGAGGGCGCGCTAGGGGAGAGACTGGTGCGATCGTGGGCGCGCGTGCAGGGGGCCGGTGAGGCAGCGTGCGTGTGCGGCAGCCGCTCGCTCACTTGGAGATGGGGAAGAAAAGTGGGGGGCGTCCTATACATGGGGGCATCTTATAGACAGAAAAATACGGCAAGCTCGTGAGCCGAGGTACCACGGTACTCACATTTCATGCATGCCTAATTGTACCCATTTTAGAGAGGGGGAACTAGTGGCCCACGGAGAACAGCTCGGTTGAGGTTGTCGCGATGGGGCTGATGTTGAACTGAGGTGGCGCTGCTGAGCTGTGGCTGCCGGCCCGTGCCCAGCGGCAACGCTGGGTGCCAGAGACAAGGCTGCCCCCCCGAGCTGAGATCCTCGTGCCAACCCCGATCTGGCGCTCTCGGACGGATCACGACCGTGCCCGTCGGCAGCCGGCTGGCCCCTTCCCCCAGAGGCCGGCCGGCCGTGCCCCGTCCACCCGCCGAGCCGCCCGTCCCGCTTGCCGTTCCAGGTGCCGGTGAGCTTCGACGAGGTCTCCGTCTGCTTCTCCGAGCAGGAGTGGGAGAACCCGGGCGAGTGGCAGAGGGAGCTCTGCAGGAGCATCACGAGGGGCCGCTGCGAGTCGCTCGTCTCGCTGGGTAAAGCACGCCCGGGGCGGCGCAGGCCCGATCCTGCGGTGCAGAGGCAGAAAAAGGCTCGCGGCACGCGCAGGATCGGGCCTCTCGGTTTTCCTGCATTTGGTGGGCTGAAGCCGGGGGTCCGGTGGGGAAAGAAAGGGGCTCCAGCGCACGGGACTGGGGAGAGGGGAGGGGAGACGTGAAGGGCGCGAGGCGAGGCGGGGTGGGCAGGTGGACTGCGCCTGAGGAGCTGCGCGGAGGCCTCCCCGGATCGTCCCTGCCGCCTCTCTTGCTGCTGGACTCCCAGGAGGGCAGCTGGCCAGGACCTCGCTGGGGAAACCAGGCCTGGGGGCCCCAAAGCGTTGCCCACCTCCCTTTTTCCCTCCCTGCAGATTATGCCATTGCCCGGCCGGACCTTCTGTCCCAGATGGAGCGCGGGGAGCAGCCCGGCGCCGCGGATCGGGTTCGTCCCGAGGAGGAAGGCGCCCCCAGGCAGATCGGCACAGGTGAGCGGCGGCCCGGCCGAGAGGCACTTCTCCCCTCCCGCTCGCTGGCCCCGCACTGCAAGCACGGCAGGCGCCGGCCCCGGGTGCACTCGCGTGGCACGCAGCCGGGGGCTCCGCGGGAGCCACCCTGCGACCACTGGGCGCAGCTCCTCCGGCGAACGGTCAGGCAGTTGCTGGGCCTGTTTTGGTCTTAGGACTCAATTCAAGGTCAAGGGAGTCTGGGGGGGTACATTTCAGGAGTGGGTGGGGCTAAAGGGGAAGTGGGCGTGGCCAGTGGCAAGGGGGCGTGGCAGAAATACCAGAAATGCCAGCATGGCATAACTTAATGCCTTTACGGACAGGACCCGGTTTAAGGGCTGGCTGTTCAGCCTCTGAGGCTGGGGAAGAACTCACAACAGTAGAGAAAGGATCCCCTGATTGGTGGTCAGGGAAAGGAGGTGACTGGGCTGGGGAAGGGGCTGTGGGGGCTGGGCTGCTGGGGTGCCCACCCCGGCCTCACCCGCCTTCCAGGCTCGTCGTTCTGAGGCGACGTCTCCGTCCCGGAGCCCCAGTCCGTGCTTCTGGATGCGCAGTGAAGCAGCCCCAGTGCATTTTTCTTCTTAATTCCCAGAATTCCCGCCAGCCGTGGGTGACGCCATCGCTTTTGTCCAGGGGGAGATTGCCCCTGCGGTGGGCGGATGGGATTCGGAGGACGGGGTCCCAGGGGCGGACAGCAGCCCAGGTGAGCTCAGCACCGAGGAGGGGCCCCTCCCGGCCATCCGGGCAGCTTCGCCGGCAGCCGTGGCGCTTCCCCGCAGGCCAAGTGGGGGCAGCTGGCTGGCACGGCAGGGCAGCGGGTGGACACGGCCACTGCTTGCGGCGAGTGGGAAGGGGAATCCAATCCGGGGCAAAATTCTTCCCTCTGGAGCTGATCCGGCAGCAGCGGGAGCAGTCTACCTGAATGCCGAGGGCTTTGGTCTTGGGACTTCTCAGCATTCCCCGACCAAAGCCGTCCCCGCCTAGCTGTGGCTGCTCCACAGAGGTGGGGATCCACCGGCACCCGCCTGATGGCACGTCTTTTGGAATTTGGGCGATTCAGGGGCTGGGGAAGGAGGGCAGGCACCCGTAGGGGTTCCTCAGGTGGGGAGATGGTCGAGCGCGGGAACAAGAGCGGGATGCACGGGGGGTGGGGAGGATCCGGCTTGGCGGGGGGTCTGCGTGTTCCCAGGGGGAGGGTGGCCTGCAGACATTTAAATTCGGCTTGTCAGGTCATGTGGTGCTTGCAGGTTCAACCTGAGTTGCCCCGGCAGAGCTGCCCTTTGGGAAGTCCTTCCGTTATCAGACACATTTCCTGGCCTGGCTCCTTCGCCCGCCCTGCTTCTCTCTTCCTCCCCACGAACTCGAACTCGCATTTTCTAGCTGCTTATCTGACCAGATGCTCTGGAGGTCCTGAAAGCAGCGCCTCTTTCCTTCGCAAGACAGTTGTGATTGTACGAAGGGACTTCAAAAAGTTTCCGCACTTTTATATTTTATAAATATATTTTATATATTTTTTGCTGATAGTATTAAAAGGTTGGTATGACGCTAGGAAAATGCATCACAAAGGCAGGTGACTATGCAGAAAAGTGATTTTTGAAATTCACAATACAGTTTAAAAAAGTGCAGAAACTTTTTGAAGAACCCTCGTAATTCGCAGATTCATGCTTTTACTTTGTTTTGTTTTGTTTTTTGCATTTCCCCAAGTCCCCCCCAAATGCAACGTCACCAAAATAGAGGGGTTATTTATTCATTCAATTGATTATATTTATATTCCACCTTTTGCCAAACAATGGCACTCACTATGGAAGGACAATAATTTGCTGTTCTTCGACTTGCTGCGGTTGATTCAGGACCTTTGGCGCAATCTGCAACGTTAAGAGGAATGAGGCCAGTTCCCCCGCTCAGGCTGGGAGGATGCGCTGGGCGCCTGTGTCCCGGCGCTCAGCTGGTCCCCTTCCCTCGGCAGGTGCGGGCCTCTTCGCCCAGGCGTCCCCCGGAGACGAGGCGGAGGCGGGAGCCGCGGAGGCATGTGGCGCGCGGCCCGAGACGCAGCCCCAGGCCACGCTCCCCTTCCCTGCGGAGGGCTTGGCGTGTGCCGCGGGGCAGCCGGGCGGCGAGGAGGCGGGCGAGTGCGGGCCGGACTTTGGCGACTTCACCACCATCATCGTCCAGGAGGGGGCGCTCCCGGGCGTGGCGCCCTACCTGTGCCCGGACTGCGGGAAGAGCTTCCTGTACGAGGAGCAGTGCCTGCTGCACCAGCGCACCCACCCCCGGGCCGCCCCCGAGCCCGGGGCCGGCCCCCCGCCTCGCCTCCGGCCGGGGGGCGGGGGCTACGCCTGCCCCGAGTGCGCCCGCTGCTTCCCGCACCCGGCCAGCCTGAGCAGGCACCGCCAGTGGCACGCGAGCGAGCGCCCGCACACCTGCGCCGAGTGCCGCAAGAGCTTCCGGCTGAAGATCAACCTGCGCCTGCACGAGCGCACGCACGCGGCCACCGGTGGCCGGGCCGGCTCCTACATCTGCGGCCAGTGCGGGCGCGGGTTCAGCCACCACTCCAACTTCCTGCGCCACCAGATGATCCACACGGGCGAGCGGCCGTACGCCTGCGGCGAGTGCGGGAAGACGTTCATCCGCAAGGAGCACCTGGCCACCCACGGCCGCCTGCACACGGGCGAGCGGCCCTACAAGTGCCCCCACTGCCAGAAGAGCTTCACCCGCAAGCAGCACCTCGTGGGCCACCAGCGGCTCCACGAGGGCCCGCTGCCCTGGCCGGGGGGCCGCCTGCCGCAGAAGCCCCCGCGCGGCCAGCCGGACCCGGCCGGCCGGCCGGCCGAGGCGTTCCCTCCGTAAGCAGGGTCTGGGGTCCTGGCGGGCCACATCCTGCTTGGAGTGGTGCTTGAGGGCCGCCGTTCCACAGTGGGCCGAAGGCAAAAACTGCGCAAAGGCTGGGAAGCCACCGGGGAGGGTCGGTGTTTCGGGAAGGGGGTGGGGCCGGGGAGGGGAAGGGGCCCTCTTCAGAGCCCCGGAGAGCCGGGCTTGGCTCCTGGACCACAGCTCCCTACACTCGCATTAAATGTGGCTGGAGCTCTCTGGCTGGGACAGAGACCCCCGACTGGATGCCGGCTGAGGCCCGGCTGGGTGGCCCCCAGTTGGAATGGGGGTGGGTGCAGCGGGCCCCAGGAAGGGCGTCCTTTGGCTAAGCACAGAGCCAGATTTCCATCCTTCCTCACAAAGGGGTGCGAGCCCCGGGGCTTCCCAGGTGCCTACTTTTTAATTTTCTGACATAAAAGTGGATTCTGCCATTCGGAGCCCAGGAGACTGTATTTATTTCTTCAGCTAATTCTTGGTGGTAAAGCATCGTTTTTGAACCCGTTCGGCTGTTTTCGCTGGGTCTTCCTTGAAGAAAGGTGCCAACGGAGCTTTCAGGCAAGGCACCTGGATGGATTCTCTCTGATGTGAGGAGTGTTCAAGAAGATGGGCCCAGTGCTGGGGAGTGAACTGGTGGGGAACGGGGGGGCTACCGAGGGTGTCTGGACCGTCCAATAAAATTCCAGGACCAGAGCAGGATGAGGGTTTGAAAAGGTGTCATCTACAAACAGCCTCGGCCAGAGAGGTGACATGGTTGTCCCTTGGGCACGGTCCGTTCCCCCCTCCCCGTTTATTGGGGAACAGTATCCGGCTAGCAGCCCCCTTCATGGCCAGCTGTGCGAGTGCAAAGTGGGAGGAAATTGGATTTGTTGGGAGGGGGGTTGAGCCCCCCTCAAGAAACCGGCCAGCGCCAAGAAACAATGGAAAGAAAGCCCAGCAGAGATGACCGGCTCTGGAAAGCGGCCGAGGAGGCACAATTTACCCTTGTGGCAAACCAGGGTGAAGCGGCAGGAGGCAGGCCTGGCAAAGCAGGTGGCAGGGGCTGGATGGGGCAGGCAGGGGGGCTGGGGGCCCACCTGCAGCCCGAGAGCCAAACTCCGCCTCGGAGGAGGTGGCAGGGGTGGCAAAGGCCAGGGGTGGGCACATGCCGCGCGTGGCCCCTGCCGTCGCCTAGCCCGGTGGCCGTCCTGGGGGAGGCTTTCCAACCTGGAATGGGGAGCAGGCAGTGCAAGGGCCAGGAAAACCTGGGGGGGGGGGGGGAGCGCAGCGGGGACCCAGGCCTGGCCGACCTTCGTCTTCGGCTGGATGCAACCGGAGCCTGGCCGGGGGCTTCGAGGGCCTGGGGACGGGCCGCTTGGAGAAGCGCTGCGGGAAGCGGGGGGCCCGGGCCGAAGACAGCTCCCTCGCGACCCTTCCCGCCCCTGCGATTGTCCGGCTGCCCGTGCGAGGAGGAGGAGGAGACGCAGCAAGGCGGGCACCCGGCGGGGGGGGGGGCGCAGAGAGGGTCCCTCGCCACGGTCGGAAGGAGCCCACACTGCTCCGGAAAGGGGAGGTCTGCGTGCGCCGGGGCCGCAGAGATGACCCGGATGAGCTGGGCTGCAGCTCCCATCATCCACAGCCCACCCCCAGCGCATCAGGAGGGCTCCAGCCCTGCCGGGAAGAGGCCGGGGCCCCCGCTCCGGATGCGCAGAACGAAG